CATTTTTACCCACCACTCAGCTACTTTAGAGCCAAAAAGAAAAATCAATTCAGAGTCTGTAACAAAATGGAATTAAAAACTCAAGGATTACAGGCAAACAGACATTCAAATTAAAAGAACAGGTATATCGACTTTTTTAAGAGAAAAAACTAAAGTTTCATTAAAAATATCCTGAGACCGACTGGTCAAAGGATTTTGGAGGTGATATTGCCTATATAATTTATGCCCCACCCTGGTATAGAATGCTCCTGGTTTCCATTTCCAAATGCATATATGATGATATAGTTTATCAGGATTTTTAGCCTTACTGTACTTCTCTTCCTTGCACCTCTGCAGAATCTCTAAGCTCCTCTGGTGGACTGGGTGTTGGAGAAAGCTAAAACTATCCATACTTTTCAAAATTGCACATGGCGCTGTATCATCATGCCCTTAGGAAGCAAAAGAAAAACAAAAAAAAATGGAGAAAAGAAAAAGACATTATATAAGCCCAAACCAATTGAGAATCAAGAACAATGCTGCCAACTATCTTAGAGGATATAAAAAATGTATCAAATGATATGAGTTAAAGGTGAATGATTTTTCCAATTAATTTGACGAAATTACACAACAATAACAGTAAAAACTAAAGGTCCTTTTTAGTAATCAAAATATTCTTTTCAGTACTCAAAGTGGTGTGAATTAGCATCATACTAAAAATTTCGAATTTAAAATGTAACTGGTATGGAATTTTCAAAAAGAATTAGTACCGTTTAGATCTTTTTTAAAAAACTGATTCATTTTTATCAGGTCTGAAATATAATTGGCATATAGTTGGCAACAATGCAAGAAACACTGATGAACCCCAAAGAGAAATTTACCCAAAACAAATTACCAAAAGTTAAACAATTATATCACAAATCTTGCAATTAACAACACTTGTAGGAATTCCAACAAGTGTGTCAATGTTGAAAGAGTGGGAAGAAAGCACCATAGAGCAGGAAATCCCAGCAGCACTTCTGTATATTTATAAAGCTAAAAGTAAGCTAAAAAATCTCTACTTCACTACCAATTCTTATAAAGTGAGACAGAATCAACTACTGGTGGGAAAGGGAAGAGAGCACTTTTGGTAAGGACCAAAGCCCCAGATTAGTGTTGCTGAAACAATGAATCACTCAAGCAATAATGTGTGTGTGTGTGTGAAAAAAAGTGGGGTGGGGGGGGGGGGCGGAGGAGAGGGAGCTTCAGTACCATAAATATTAGCAATACCTGAAGTTAAAAGAGAATACAGGTTTTCCAGGTATGGAGGAACTTAAGTGTCATTTACTTAGAGAACATCTCTAGACTTATGCTATTAACTTCAAATTTATGAACATTACCTTTGAAAAGCAAAAGTGAATAGTTAACAAATAGAGGAAAATTAAACAATGAACTGAATGAAGCTCCATTGGTGCATATCAATATACACTGAGTGGCCAGATTATTATTACCACCCGACTTTTGTAGGCAAATTAGCTATAATTTCACGCTGAAGTTGCTAGAGGGCCAGACCATTATAAATAGGGAAGCAGGTTATTTACCACGACAGTAGAAGTGATTTTTTTCTGAAGATATGGGTAAACAACGCGATTATCAGCCTTTGAACGTGGGATATATATATATACATAGTATATAAAAGCCTAAGTGACCGAATGACTGAATGACCTAACAAGACATCAACAGGTTGTTATGATGCACACTGACCACCAGGGGGCAGACGCTCTACACAGGAGCTGCCCCCTGGTGGTCAGTGCACTCCCACAGCCAACCTCCCATGGCAAGCCAACATCCCGTGGCTGCCAACCTCCCATGGTCCTTCCTGTCAGACAGCTTGGTGATCAGTGCACTCCCACAGCTAACCTCCCCAAGCTGGCCAACCTCCTACAGTCCCTCCCCGCAGCCAGCCAGTCCCAATCAGGACTGGGCGAGATGGCACCAATGGGCACCGATCACCCACCAAGCCAAGGGATCCCACCTGTGCACGAATTCATGCACAAGACCTCTAGTCTATCCTATATAATAAAAAGGTAATATGCAAATTGACCCTAAAGGAGGAACAACCAGTTGCTATGACTTGCACTGACCACCAGGGGGCAGACGCACAACATAGGAGCTGCCCCCTGATGATCAGTGCACTTTCACAAGGGGAGCACTGCTCAGCCAGAAGCCGGGCTCACGGCTGGCGAGTGCAGCAGCAGTGGTGGGAGCCTCTCCCACCTCTGCAGCAGCACTAAGAATGGCCGACTAACAGAGAGAGGGAAATTAAACAATGAACTGAAGTTCCATTGGTGCATCGACACTAATAAAAGAGAAACATGGTAATTGGCGTACGACCGCTACCCTTTTCATTGGCTAATCAGCGAGATATGCAAATTAACTGTCAGCCAAGATGGCGACTGGCAGCCAGGCAGCTTGAAACTAACACGAGGCTTGCTTGCCTCAGTGACGGAGGAAACCAATGTTCCCCGCCTGCCTTGACGGCCTGTGAGCTTGCAGTTTGAAACATTGTTACAAATATAGAAGCTAAACAAAACTCCAGAAACCTGCTTTCAGACCGCCAGGATCTC